CCCTGCAGCCCTCCACGCACACGTCACACATCCTCCTCTCTGTCGTGCACTCATGCACACAGTTGTCAACAAAGTTGCAGTTGCATGGTAACGATTACACTGTGGACTGTGTGTGTGTGACTGCTGCAGTGGAGATTGTGGTTTCCATGTTTACTGTTAGGTTAGGCTGAACGTAGCAGTCGTCGTTTTGCATTTGAGCTGATGATGCTCTTCAGTCACACTTGCCAAACTCCACCATTACCCAACGTTTATCCTGGGAATGAGCTGGGAGAGCAGCCATGACAGCTCATGTGACATCTGCCTATATGTTGCACAATGCAGTTGGATAAATCCACAAAGAGCTGCGAATCTCAGCGCTGATCACAGCTCGTCCACACAGAAAACAAATGCAGCACAAATTAACTTGGCAATTATTTATAGCGAGATCATTTTCCCCAGCGGCAGCGCTCCACGAGATCTTAGGATCCACTCACCTGCCAAATCCCACTTTGACTCCTTGTTGTGATCATGACTTCAGTTGTGACATGTTTAGACTTTTTGAGGATATGTGAGGCTTTCTCCTGTGTTTGTGCGGAGTCGAGTGTCAGCTAGGCCACAGAGTCCGAGACTTATTAATAAATCTCAGTGTTTCATCCACAACCACGCCAGCTTCAAGCAGAGTGAACTGCGTCCTGTTGTTGTTGTTGTTGATGTGTGTAGCCTGTAACCGAAAAGCTGCAGCCGCGTGTTTAAGTTGACAGCTGCAATAAAGAACCCGACCACATGTTCGCACTTTGCAGTACACCGTCGACTTACACACACGGCTGCAGCTTTGCAGCAGATGCAGCAGATGCTCTTATCATTAACGTAACTGCTGTGAATTTTATGTTCTGCTGTAAAAGTGATTCTGATGTTAAACATTAGTTCTGATGACGTTTTGCCAGGTAACTTGCGCCCCACCTGTCAGAACTCGCCACACACTTTGAGAACCACTGTTCTAATGCACGATACCGGAGTCGTAACTGCCGGGAAGCCAAAAATCTAACCATTGTCTCCTCAGGACTTTTAAGGAAAAGTCAGCAGGATGCTGAAATATTGGGAAGCTGCTGGGAGAACAAAATGCACGCTCAGCATCACTGAAGGATGATTATGCAGGATGCTAACGTCAAAGAATCCTAAAATGTGGGTGTGACACAGTGGAAGGAGCTCAGCAGAAGCACCTGCCTGTTCG